CATGATTTTACATCCGACCACTGCGCGAAATTAAAAATTTTCGGGTGGCTTTTTCTTTGTGCTCGGTGCTCACCAGAGAGGTAAATTGTCACTTTTTTCAAACGAGGAGGTTGATCTATCATTTTTTCTCTACATTGGTGTTGGGCTCTTATTATCTTTCCGTAAAATAAATATAACGAATTCTCTGTGTAGGAAAAGGAATTCAATTTTTGGAAACGGGAATTTTGTGAGAACTAGTAACTATAATTTTAAGATATTTTAGTAAGTTTTTGTTATGTATACTAGGTAATGCTGCCCCTAAACGAAAACTGAGACCTCTCTTTTTTATTTCAAAATTTACATTCCTACAAGGTAAACAGTCAATGGGTAAAGTTTGACAGAAATCTCAGTGCAGGTGCTATTTTAGAGGGCTGACCAGGTGCTTCGAAAATAGAAAATTCATGTAAAAATAGGCTTTGATTCGTTTTATTCGGATAACGCATTAGTGACGTGGTGCTTTTTTGAACAAAACGTGCTTTTCAGGAGTCCATAGAAGAATAAATTAAGTAGAAGTGATATAGGGAAAGTTTTTTGGAAAAATGTTTTCCTGATTGTACAGTGAATCGTGCAAAGTATCAATTAGGTTCTTAAATGAGAACCATGTTTACTCCTCGTTCTGCATATTACAACCTACGTGGTCACCACATCTTGTCACTTTCTAAGCCGAAAACAGTGTATGGTCCACATTCTTTAATTACCTAGCTGCTAAACTATTGAATTCCCTGTCTGATGGCCTGAGAGCTTGCGAGGATTTATATGAATTTAGGAGGAAAATTATTAGTTTTGTCAATTTTAACATTTGATATCGCAAGCATGTATTTTTATATCTATCTTAATTTACATTGTATTTTATAGTATCTTATATTTTATCAATGTATTTTTTTGAGAGCTTGCGAGGATTTATATGAATGTAAGAGGAAAATTCTTAGTTTTGTCAATTTTAACATTTGCTATCACAACCTTGTATTTTTATATCTGTCTTGAATTACATTGTATTTTATAGTATCTTATATTTTATCAATGTATTTTTTGATAGGAATGTAAATCTTATATTCCTATCAGAATTTATATTTCCACTATATTTTATTATATTTAACAAGACATAAACTTTGTAGCTACATTCACATTCGTGTTGAAATAAAGTTTATGCATGCATGTATGTATGTATGTATGTATGTATGTATGTATCGTGTGACTGGTTTTTGCGTCACCGTGTATTCATCGAGTTACGAAGCGAGCAGGTAGTTTGGGGAGCACAAGATGAGTAAAGGTAGCTTGAGGGGCAGCCAAGAACGACTTTATCTTCTTGATTGCTCCCCAAACTTTATAAGGGCTTTATAACTCGATGAACGCACCACCACACGTGTCCTTCCGGGCGCCATAACCAATTGAGCAGCGGAGCCTCAGGTGGGAATTATTGCAAATCCTAGTGGGATTGTCGTTCCCTTAGAGGAATATGATGAAATGAAATAAGTAATATTTTGATCCGAGGATGAAATACAAAGTAAAGAAATAATCTTTACAGGTGAGCTGCAGCTAAAGAAATTACAGAATGGAAGCTCTTCCCCTCGTCCCATCTGCAAAATTTCTGTGGTCTTCCCTAAAAATAGTCGTTTTTGTGGATAGAAAATTGTAAATTATATCCTAGATTTTCAGTACACATGTTTAGCAAGAGCCAACAAATTTGAATATAGAGTACTTCATATTCAGCATATCATTTGAGTTAAAAGCCAAACTTTAAAGCCAGCAACTTTATATTGGGAGGTTTTTCTCCAAGTGCTTATAATTTTCAAATTATGAGGTCTTTGCTAGAAAGCAGGCACCCACCTGCTCTCCTTCCAGCCCTTATGTCTATGACTGTGAATGGATTTCCACACACGTTGAAGCAAACAGGCATCCGTAATTTACATCACTAACACAGGCGACGGAGAGCACCATAAGACTGCATGAAACCCTTCATGTCACGAGCAAAATTCAATTCGGTACGAGGCTAGCAGATTCAGTCAAGTAGCTGGCTTGGTGGAGCTTTACTGCAACAGATGATGTCGTAAAGGATCGCGGTCTGCGCCAGGGACCTAGCCGGGATATTTTAAAAGAGGGGGGGAGGGGCTAGGGTCACCATGTGTGAAACAGGTTACTCACCAGATTATCATGTCACGACCTTTACCCAATGCGTTTAAAAAATAATTAAAAAAGGGGGAGTCATGGGCACCCCCTTCCCTCTCCCCCCCCTTCCCCCGTTAGTTGCGCCCTCACGTGCGGTTTCCGGAAAGCGGAAAGCAGCTCGCTTTTGAGGTCTCCCATTTTCACGATAACCGCTTAAGACGAGGACGAGGACGAGGACGAGGACGAGGACGAGGCCGAGTGGAAGAGTCTTTTTTCAGCATCCTTTTGTCTAAGATAGTGCTTAATTTTTCTGTATCGATCGACAGTGTTCATTCTCATTTGCTTTCCGTTTCCCTTTGAGCGACTGATCAGTTTGTGATCAGTTCTTGGCAAACTTTAAAATATTAGCGTATTTGCTGTTGTTCCATAATACAACTAAATTGAGTTTTTATCTTTTCATATTGCGTAGGTACGTAAGCGTTTCAGCTCCACTCTAAATAATATCAGGTAGGCTTGATGGTGAGTCTTCTCAGGCAATTTTAAGAGTGTCGGGGTCTGGTAAATAAAGGAACTAACCCGGCTTCTAAAATTTACTTCTCATGATTCGATTGAGGAATGGTGTGGGTATCAATTGAACAAGGATAGCATTCGTTAGACTACCTGTAAAAAAATTTCGGTACCCTTCAAATTTCCCCGTTCACTCATCCGCCGACTTGGTTAGCACTGCCCGTAAACCAGCCCTCAATGCAGTGTGCAATACTCTCGTGGTACAGAAGAAGGTGCAGAAGAACGGGAGAACTTGATCTACATCCTGTTCTAACTGTAGTACAATGTAACTGAACATAGTACGCATCGTCTAATTTGTCCATTCACTTGCCAAGCGAATGCTTTATCAGGTCATAGAGCTAGGAAAAATTATTCTATTGCTCAAATATTTAAATTTTTTAACTTGAAAGGCTGAAGTATAAAAGATTGTTTTTTTTCTACGCAGCATATGTAACTATCTAAGAGCTAACTTGCTTTGGAAGACCTTTACGAAGCAAAGAAATCGGTAAGTCATCACTCCTAGTAGATACTATTGTAACTGAGGACTGATCATGATATTTTTTATTGTTTGAAGAGCATCTATGGATTATCTGATTCAGCTGTAACTTGACATTTTATGATGACGGTTTCTTTTGTTAATTGCCACAGAAGCCTGGAAGTACTTTTATTAAGAGTCTGTCTTTAAAAGGAGTTAATTACAACACAATTTACGCTTTTTTATTCAGCTTAATTCTTTCTGTTAGCTCAAAGAAAAAAAAGTTGTACACAGCGAAAAATTTAAATAAGTAACCCTATAATCATCGCCATGCCAATGGATATGAAAGGCTTCTGGTAATACTGAATTCGGACAATGGGTAATCTGTCGCTGGGTTTCAATGTTTCAATGTTGTGTGTGTGGACACGAGACAAACATGATACCCCAGTTTTGTTGCACTTTGACTTGATTGTTTGATCTTTGCAATTCTTGCATTAACTAAGATCCTTGAAGGGAAAGCCAAAATGTTTTTTTCTCAAACATTGAAGAAGTCGCACTGGTTATTTTTTTTTTGGCATACCTAATTACATTGAGAGCCTCTAGAAAATCACTCTCAACTATATAAAGTGTTGTAAAGAGCAGGAAGCTAACTAACATGAGTACCAATAAGGCACAGGCATAAGTAAAGTTATAATTCTAGGCTAGTACATTAGTGGTCGATTTGGAAACCCCTTGGAATAGTTGTTCTCCAACACATAGAGTCATAAATACATTCTTCTATCACCCAGCAACTCTGATAATAGGACTGCAGTCCAGTTTTTTTCGTCATCTTTACAAGTTATGCTTTGTTGCCAGAACAAAGTTTAAAGTGTTCCTCCTTTGTGTTGTCCATTTATGTTGCTTTTAAAAACCTGGATTTCCTCTTTTTTCAGCCATTACTAAGATTAAGGAAATGACAACAACTATGCTTCAAGAGCCATCCAGTAAACCTGACTTCATGTTCAGATACCAATTGTTCCTTACAATTTTAATTATCCTTTTTATTATCACAATTAAACCCATTATTATTGTTATTATTCGTGATATTATTATATCTCTCCTCCTGAATCAAATAACTGCTCTGTAACTTGGATTTAAAGCATTTGGTTTATTATCTGTTACATAATTATACAGTGAGTAAACTGTGGTTGACTTGTGATAAAGTGAAGTACTTTGTGCAGGTATGATCACATGATTCCAATTGGAGTGTAGTATAAATATACACATGAAATTTTCTAAAATTTATCAGTTCTCATAAATTTATTCTAAATAGCTCAGGAAAACAAGAAGCACAGATGCAAAACTCTCAAATTATGTGCAAGGCTCAAAATAATTTCCAGCTATTGCTGGTCAAGTTGTTCAATCAAACCTATTATTGCTCAGACACCAAGTTTTGGCCAGATATATGTCTACTGTGTCATACCTCAGTAAATCCTTGCCCCTCCCCCATATCTCTTTCTGGCATTTTCCCTCCTCTGTTACTATTTTGCTGTTTACTATTTGTTCCACTTTACTAATGTTCTGGTCAGGTAACATCCACCTCTCCTTCTATCTAGGCAGTTCAGAAAGCTGCAAATTTTTGAAAATGACGTTACTAGCCAATTTTTTTGTGCAGATTTACCCCTTGTCTTAGAGGTAAAATTTTTTTTCTGTAGACAAATACCCATCATTTATTATACAGATTACAACTTAAAGACTCGCAATTGCATGTCTCGATGAGTTGCGAGCTTTTGATATACTGCATAATGTTTTTACTCTTCAGGCCGAGGTTATCATCAAAATCTTGAGCGAATATGCGGGAGCTGCGACTAATATCATGACAGAGGTGGCCGGATCATCATATGGTATGTACTACTGAGCCAAAGTGCCCCATGTACGTTATTTGATAGTAAGTCAGGTTGGTTTTTTACTAAGTAGATGACCTATTGATTTTCTCGTCGCCTGTGTCTTTTTTCGGGCGCGCACCTCTTCGATATCAGCTCGCTCTTGTGCAGGATTGTCATTAGTTACAGAGTGCGTATCATCACCATCATAACACAACCATCTCAGTTGGTTTTCTTATGTTTTTGGTGTTTTTCTTCAAGTTACAATAACTATGGCACTCAAGTTCCTAACGGAATCGAGTTTACATATGGTTTATTTACAGTACACGGAAAAAACGCGGGCCCCTTGATTAGACGTACCGTTTTCTGCACTCGTGAAATATGCTAAGCGCACCATTTGATTGTCTTTTGGCAGGAACTGCTTGTTTAGAAAAAAAAAACTAGTTTCGCACCTTTTAAAAGGGTAGATGTCAGTCTTTATGTTATCATTAGGCTTTCCCTTTAGTCCTAATATAACTTTCCGATATGTATTTGTCCAGGTCCTTTTTCTCTCAATCTGTGTGTTATGTGCATTCATTATTTGCCAAGGGATCAAAGGCGTAATCCTTAAGTCGAACGGGTAAATAATTGCTGATAATGCACTAGAAATCATTATGACACTTAAATATACCTCCATGTACTCCGTAGGTGGCGACGTTTCTTTGCATTGGGGATAATTCTCTTTTAAATATCAAAACCACAGGTTTCAGTGATATAAAGTCGTGTGTAATAGAATGCAAAGTTTTTGTACGGTCAAAGGTTGTCTTTTCATTAGAACAGTTTGATTAGTCAAAGTCGGAAAAATCCAGAAGTACAGTGAAAACAGCTCGTCCTAAGTTTAGCGAGTTAAAAATGCAAGCTGTTTTCTCATGAAAAAACAAGGGATTATCTCGCTTTTATGACCAGAAATTCCCGCAAAGTTATGCTACCTCGCGAGATGGTATAACTCGTCCTGATAAATGCCGCAGCCAATCACATTGCCCGTACTGACAGATGCTTGTCAAATCGTGAACTGGCAAGTTTTTTCCAAACGTTCGCGCTCACCTCGTGGTTCACTTTGCAAACAGTGCTTTCGAAATGACAGACGAATTCACTCGTAATAGTTTCCCTTTCCAACAATCCGTCGTATCCTCTGAAAGAAACGCCATCTCCTTCGGGGAAATCAGGTGAGAATCAATATAGAATAGAAGTCATTAAAGATGCTTCGTCTCCTGCCATTTTTTCAAAGTTGCGCGCTTTTGTAATTTTTAATCTTCTGAGTAAACTGCTTAAATTTCACAGTGAAAACAGATGTCAAGTTTAACTAGTAAATGTCGGTCTGTAAACAAACACCTAGAAAGAATGTTCAGCTAGAAAAGTGGTCCAGTGAAAACACAACCAAAAAGGCTCAAAGTTTACCTTAAAATTGTATCATTTAGCACTTACTTTGAAGCCGGTAAATCTCAAATGTCCTAGCTATTAGTAGCTCTACATAATAAGAAATCTGTGTAGGCTTAAAAGCCCTTCAGAGACAAACAAACTATTCAGATGACTGCCTTATTAGAGAAGAGTCAAGCCTTGGCATATATGTGGCAGAAGCTATAGTTCAAGAAATGAATAATGAAAATTTTTTTCTCAAAATGTCAACAGGATATAGTAATTGTTTTCCTCCTCCATGCGCTGCATGACAATTAGTTAACATTAGTCGTATGTACCTATAGAAAAGTCTGCCACCTTCATACAGGGGGTTTTTTTTTACATTAAAAATGTGCATTGGGCCGCATGGGTCATTAATATTATCTTTTATCCTGATCCATCAAATATTTTTGCTCGCGCGCGATTGGTCTAAACGCAGAACGTGACCTAGAACATCACCTTTGCGATATTCCC